TCTTGGTTTAGTATCCTTCTTGGCATAGATGTGCCTTAGTGCAGCATGATCAGTATAGACTATCTCCTTGGACCCAATTAAATAACTTCTGAACTTCTCAAATGCAAAGACTACTACTAGAAGCTCCTTCTCTGTTGTGGTACATCTGGTCTGAGCTTCATCAAGAGTTCTGCTTGCATAATATATGACATGCAGCTTCTTGTCAACCCTCTGTCCCAATACTGCGCCAACTGCATAATCACTAGCATCACATATAATCTCAAAAGGGAGATCCCAATTAGGCGCCTGGACTATGAGTGCACTCACTAGAGCCTTCTTGAGAGTTAGGAAAGCCTGCAAGCATTCTTCATCAAAGACAAATTATGTTTCCTTGTACAACATCCTTGTTAGTGGCCTTGCTATCTTGGAGAAATCCTTGATGAACCTCCTGTAAAAGCCAGGATGCCCCAAGAAGCTTCTGATTCCTTTGACTGCGTTTGGAGGCTCTAAGTGTAGCATCACATCAATCTTCGCCTTGTACACTTCTATCCCTTTCTCAGAAATCTTGTGTCCCAAAACTATGCCTTCCTTGACCATGAAATGGCAATTCTCCCTATTCAGAACCAGCTTAGTGTCCTCACATCTCTGTAAAACCTGAGAAAGATTGGACAAACAAGAAGCAAAAGATCCACCATACACAAAAAGTCATCCATGAGAACCTCAACCATTTCCTCAACCAAATCAGAAAAGATAGAAGTCGTGCATCTCCGTAATGTAGCTAGGGCATTACATAATCCAAATGGCATTCTTCTATATGCAAAAGTGCCGTAAGGACATGTGAAAGTGGTTTTCTCCTGATCATTAGGATGAATAGGAATTTGGAAGAAACCACTGTAGCCATCTAGGAAACAATAATAAGGATGATTGGCTAATCTTTCAAGCATTTGATCAAGGAAAGCCTGTTGAGATAACCCTTTCTTCCACCCCCCCCCCCCCCCCCAACCCCCCCCCCCCCCCACAGTTGCATATCATAACACCAATGTAGAGAGATTTCCTACCCCGCTCTCGTCATGGTCCATTGATATATCCATTATTTATACCATATTAGCATGCATTCATCACTAGCTTTTTTGGTATTTAAACATGCATTTCTTACTTATTTTTGTCCCATTTGCATACATTTAGGAGTTAGAGTAGTTTTAGGTGTTGCATTGCATTTTGTTTGCATTTGGAGTTGTATCAGGTACAAAAGGGATGTTTGGAGACCAAATGGAGCGATGGATGTGAGCTAGGAGTAGAGAAAGAAGGAGAACAAGGTCAGATGGACCAATATCGAGCTGGATATCAAGCAGGCTTTCCCGATATGGCGTGTACCGATCAATGTATCGCCCACTTCACATCGATACATGGGAGGCAAGGCGTACCGAGGAGCATATCAACTTAGGAGGACACCGATACACAAAGGAGAGCATGTACCAGACAGCATATCGGGCACCCAAGCCGATACACCTAAGACAGGACAATATCAACCAATGTAGCGGCTAAGGGATGCCCGATCTGCCTTAATTGAGGGCGACTGTATCGGCCAGCGTATTGACCAGAAGCATCCCCAGAGGTCCCCTGAAGATTGGAGTATCGACCCCCATAACGGGCAAGACTAGGCCGATACAAGCATGAAGAAGCCAATATCGAGGAGTGTATCGACTTATCCAAGCCGATATGGGTCAGCCGAACCAGCCAAAATCCGGTTTACTCCTGGTTTATTAGGGGTTTTCAAATCACCCTATAGATACTTATAGTTCTAAATGTTTAGGCATCTTATCTTTTACTGTTCTAAGTTTAAAAACCTTTATATTTTGAGTAATCTTTGTAAGAACCTTGTTTGATTTAGTGAATTTCTGTGTTTCCTTAATCTATTCTTGTTTAGTCTGCTTTCTAATCATGCTTAGTCATTCTTTCTCTTTAGAATTTGTGGTTTTGGCTATGGCTAGTGAGTAGTCCTTTTTAGGGTTTGAGATGAGATAGACTATAGGGATTTTAGGATTAGATTAGTGATGTCTTGTGCTTAACATGATTGTTTCCTCTCTATTTGATGTGCTTAACACTAAGTTAGCCTTGATCAAGCTTGCTTAGTACATGTGCTTTCTTTTATGCCTAGTAAGTGTTTGATGAAATGCTAATTATTCTTTTAAAGGATTTATCTGTTCTAGCCAAAGAGATTAGCTGTCTAGAAGGTATCTTGGCTTAATAGAATTGGTTTTGCTTGCTTGTTAGTTTCCTAATCACTAATGAGAGTTAGTTCTTGGTTAAGATGTTAGCAAAAGGGTTTCCACCAAGAGAGTGGGTTAATATATTGTGTTTGAATTCTATGTCTAGGAAATAGCATTGTTTGAAGATTTGTGAAGCATCGTTAGTCTATTCTAATCCCCTCTACATCAATAACCCCATTTTAAGTCCTGCTTTTATCACTTGATTATCATATTTCAAAATTGTTTAGCCTAGTCTTGATTAGTTTACTTGCTTGTGTTTGATCACCACTTATCTTTGATTTGGTTTGACTTAAGTAAGCTATTGCATTCCTATTGTCTTAGATTTTCTATTATGGATTGATACCTCAAATGCTGCAATGATATATATGTGGGTTTGAGTAATTGAAGTAGATAAAACACCTACATCATCCATCTACCCTACTTCCAATCTCACCAAACATCAGATGGATATCACGTCGGCATAACCGAATCACCGACACCTTAGCAAACTTATCCCCAGAGTTCTTGTTCCTAGTAGGACGTTCATTGACTTGGGCGTCAGAGAACCTTCGAGAGGAAAAACCCCTTCCGGTCTCTTCAGAGGCCCAATTTACCCGCTTGCGTTTATGTGCAGGACCTGTCAGTCTTTCGTCCCGGAACTACATACCGCTCATCTCCTTCTGAAGGACGAAATTTGAGACCCAGCTCCACGATTCCGAACGATCACACACCATCTGCGTTATACCTAAAAATATTATTCATATTTATACTTAGCATAAATAAAATATAATTATAATTATAAACTGAGTATATTAATTATGTTTAAATTGAAATAAATAAAATACCTAAAATAATTTCCAAATTATTTTAGAGAAAATTAAAGTTTTCTAAAATAATATAGAAGCTTAAATTAAAAAATAGTTTTAATAAATAATTTTAAAACAAAAAATATTTTCTAAAATTATTTATAGTTATTCAAAATATCTTAAGATGAATTTAAATTTTATCTATTATAATAGTAAGATTACTATATATATATATATATATATATCTCTAAAATACACATATCTTACTTGGTACAAAACTAACATAAAGTTGTTCAAATCATAACTTTCGATTTGTCTGTATAGTTTTTTTATAAGAATTTGTTTATGTCTAATTCTGGAAATGTTTTGTCTGATCATACACTTGTAATTTAATATATTAAAAAGCTACCTAAAAGTGTAAAACAAAAATTAAATGCTATTTAATAAACATAATATTAACATAAAAATATACAATAATAATTTAATTCTTCTAACCAAATAAAATAACTTTTATCATCATCTTTAACTTCATTCTTGTTATGTATTGGTTGTTTCAAATCATATCTCAATATTGTTGCTTTCAAAGAATTTTAGTTTTTATAAGTAATAGATATAATATATTTTTTAAACAATTAATCTTTGTAATAACTAATAACAAACGATGGTACTAAAATTATTATATTATAATAAATAAAGTGTTCTTTAAATATGATTTTATTAATATTATATATGAAATGAAATTTAATATATTAATTTTCTTTTTATTGTTAATAAGAAAATAAGATCTAATTTTTATAATTTTTAAAATAATTCTATTTAATAATTATCTAAAAATTTAGAAACATTTTCCTAATAACAACAAAAAAATAGTTAATTTTAATATATATACAATTAACTATTGATGATGATGTGTCCTAATAGAATTGAATCTCTTAGATCCTATGTGAACACCTTCAGAGGCATATAACATCAACTTTTATTAGTAATAGATCTTTTGAGTATATATAAATTTCAATATTTTTTCTCCAATTATCCATTAATATCTATCAGTTAAAAAAAAATATGTATAGATACATATCATGCTACAATATAACATAATTATCAAACTTATCCCTAACACGTTTAAAGAATAATAACATATGAATAGTTATAGAAACAATAATTTTAATAATAATATTATTATATGTAACTAAACTTTAATTTAAAGATTAACATACCTAAAGTACATTAGTTAAAAACTAATCAAATATGTGACTGAAATTTATAAAACAAAAAAATAATTGAAAATAATTATATATTTTTTTGTCTTTTAGTATTTCTTTCTTTTATTTTCCAGCTAAACCTATTTTACTCTACATTAAAAAATTTAGCCCAATTCTTTAATATTAGGCAATTCTTCATACATCAGTTAAAAAACCGGTGCCTTGATTTGCATTCCGGCTGCTTCCAATAATGATGGTATTTTAGGTCCGGTCATCCGAGTTTAGATCATAATTCAATTTTTTCAGGTTTCGATATAATATATATATTTTTAAAAAAAAAAATAAAAGATTTTTAATTAAAAGCAAATAAGAGCATGGTGCAATGCAGGGTTCTTAAGAAAATTTTAAGAAATTCTAAATAATAAAATAAAGTAAAATAATAGAAAGATGAGCGAGAAAATAAGAAATGGTCCTTCTTTACGAACCATAAGAATGTGCTTATAAAAAAATGAAAGATAGTATAATCCACATATCAAATTTTATATGGTTATAAATTAATTAATTATTTTATATCAATTTTAGATATTCTTTTTGAGTTTGCTCTAACAATACAAACTATGACAATTAAGCCATACAGTTTGGCTCATTGAAAATTCCACGACCACCACGCCCTCTCTTGACCTCCAACCATAATCCATTGGTCTTGGATTTTCTGGGTTGGTTTTAGAGTTCTTTCCACACAAGACTTTAGGGCAGAAACCTCCTCATCCTGCAAAGTTTCCAGATGAGAGTCTCCATTGTAGTAAACTAGCACCCTCAACTACTTCTTCGTTCCCCAATAACATATCAGAATTATCTGATAAATCATTGTAAGGTTCCAAAACAGAGTAAGAGTTAGATTGAGTTACCATAGGGACAACAGGAAAGACATGTAGAGTCGTAGGAGCATTTCCATCATTTAAAGATGCAGTTTCAATTAGAGCAGGGTCTTCAGCAGATAGAGGAGCATTTTCAGATAAGACAACATTTTCAGTTATGACTTCAGAAGGAAGAGCAGTTCTTAATGTAGCAGTTTATGTAGGATAGGAGCTTGTGCGGCTATTTGAGTACCCAGTTGGGTAAGAGAATCATTGATAGTAGTATAATGAACATTTGTAATTGGCGCAACTTCAGTTGGATCTAAGAGATGATTAGATGCAGGATTCACATTGTCTTTAGTTAGGGTAGTTTTCTCTAAGTTTAAAGCGGAGGCACTAACCAAACTGGTGTCTACAATGTTAGTAGCGCTTGTTGTCGTTGTAGCAGAAACGTCATTAGATGCTTCAGTGTCACTGTAACAGTAGGATTCAAGACCGATAGAATTCCTAGGCATCTAGAAGCTTTATGTCCAAGCCAGCCACAAGTGGGATATTTAGGAGGAAGCCACGAGTACAAAACATCAACCATTGTTATTCTTCCACTCATATATTTAAGTGCCACATTTTGAGAAAACAGTTTGCTTAGCTTCACTTCGACAAGAATTTTTAGCTTTTCCCATTAGAGTTGGGTAAAGCCAAGGCTTGCTTGGTAGCATTGGTGCACCTATGCCTGAAGCAATCCAATCTATCCCTTTGAAAGAGTATATCTGATTCACTATGTTCTTCAGAGTTAGCCAAACTGGAACCAACGATTGCTTGATCATTTGACAAGAAGCTTGAAAAATATTTGGAAAAAACAGAGGGAGCTTCCATTTGAATAACTCTCGGTTGAACAAGCTTAGCCGATTTTTTATATCCCACATTTGAAGCTCCTCTAGAGAAATCCAGCCATTCAGAAGAGAGGGCAGAAAAACTATTAACACCAAGTGGAGGGTAGGGACTGTAGATTAGCGGCTTTCTCGAGTTTTAATCTGAGATGCCCCTCTGACTAAAACCAAAATCTCAAATATCCCCCTTCTATTTCTTTTTCGTTTTGAATTAATTTTAATTCAGAAAATCATTAAATTTACCTAAAAACCTACTCAATTAATCAGATTTATAACTATACTTGGATTCTACCTGCTCACCCAACTAAAATCGGATCTGACTTCTAACCGTAAAACTAAAATCCCTAACCCAAAAAAAAATTAATCCAAAACGACACCTCCTCCTCTTCACCCCCAAAACTGTCGTTGTCGTAACCCTTCATCTCTATAAAACTCTAACTCCTAACTCCTTCATTCCTAATTCACTCAATTTCAAACCGCTTCCATCTCCTCTCTCTTGAATTCAATCGTCTCTATCTCTGCACTTTCAATCGGATTCAATGGCCAAGACAATATGGACAACAAGGAGGAAGAAGAAGAAGACTGCTGAGGATGCGAATCCGCCGATTGCTGAACTGGAGAAGGGTCAAAGCAGTTCGAATCCGCCGATTGATGCCATTGAAGAAGAGGTTGAAGGAACTACGGTTCCCATTGGCGAGAGACATAGAGAAGATAATGAAGAGAATGATGACGAAGAAACTGAAGAAAAAGGAGATCATGAAGAAGAAAACTCCAATGAAGAAGAAGGAGACAATGAAGAAGAAGACGGAGAGAAAGGAGAGAGTGACAATGAAGAAGAAGAAGAAGACAATGAAGAAGAAGGAGACAATGAAGAAGAAGACGGAGAGGCCTCCGAACAAAACTCGGCGGACGGGGAAGATGAAAGTCTTGTAAGTATTTCGATTCCATTGGATTGGATTCGTAGTTAGGTAGAACTAGGGGAAACTAAATTGTTTTAGTTAGGTAGAACTAGGAAAAACTAGTATAACTAGGTAAAATAAGTCCTTGTTACATGTAGTACTAGTATAACTAGGTATTACTAGGATTTGTAGTTATTAAGTAATACTAGTATAACTAGATAAAACAACTCTGTTGTTACATGTAATAATAGTATAACTAGATAATACTAGGATTTGTGGTTGTTTAAATAATACTAGTATAACTATATTATACTAGTATAACTAGGTAATACTGGTATAACTGAATAAAACTACTCGATTGTTACATGTAATACTAGTTTAACTAGTACTAGGATTTGTGGTTGTTTAAGTAATACTAGTATAACTAGATAATACTAATCGGATTTTATTTGTAATACTAGTATAACTAGATATAACTAGTCGAATTTTATTTGTAATATTAGGAATGACTTGGTATAACTAATCGGATTTTATTTGTAATACTATTATAACTAGATATAACTAGTCGGATTTTATTTGTAATACTAGGAATTACTTGGTACAACTAATCGAATTTTATTTGTAATACTAGAATTACTTGGTGCAACTAATCGGATTATATTTGTAATACTGGAATAACTTGGTACAACTGAATGTTTTTGTAGGATTCCGAGGAGTAATTGACAGCACTACAACCTATGAAAATATACCTCCCACCGACAGAGTAAAAGAAGATGATTAAGATATCGACAAGGTGCTACATCTACGAAGCTTTGACGACGCTGGACAATTTGAAGCCTCCGCTCTCACGTCTAGAGAGGTCATGGTTTGAGACTCATCCGCAATTCAAGCACATTTTCCACTTGCCAAGGGAAAAATATCACAAGGTTTTATGGGCATGTGGATGCTACTTCTTCGAACAGCATGCATCGAGAAAGAGAAGGAAGCTTGGTTTGTCGTCAACGGCGTTCCTATCCGTTATGGGCTGAGGAAACACGCCTTGATGTCAGGATTAGAATGCCGCAACTATCCACTCAATTATATGCGAGAGGGCAGTATGGACTTTGTCAAGAGGCATTTTGAGCGATCAACAATCAGACATCAAGACGTGAAGGAAAAGCTAGAGGAAATGGATTCTGGTCGAGATAGGTTGAAGGTGGATGTCCTCTACTTCTTATCCAGCATTGTTATAGGGCAGACAAAGACTGGAGCAGATGCTACGCCTGTGTTGGAATTCTTTCAGAGAGCGGTGTCTGATCTCGAGTTGTGTAAGACATTTCCTTGGGGCAGATTGTCCTTTGATCACATGCTAGGCGAGATATCGCACACGATGAATCATTTTGGAGGAAGCGTCAAAGAGGGTGTATTATGGCCGATTCCAGGTTTCTGTATTCCTATGGAGGTAAGTTACTTCCTGTTATAATTGGGGTATTAGTTATTGACTACTTGTTATAATTGAAGCATACTCTTACTCCTTTAACCATATGTGTGGTGTAGCTTTTCGCATTTGAGGCAATTCCAGATTTGGGGAATAGATTCCGAGAAGCTATTCTAAGCGCACTCATGAGTTGCCCTAAGATGTGCAAGACAAGGTTCAAGAAAAGCGAAATGAAAGGGTTTCCTCTTGAGAGTATAAATCAACACCTTGGTGGAACTAAGGTTAGTTATTCTTCTCATACTTTGCATTATAATGATTTTGGATTGTTATGTTTTTAATCTTTAATTTCATTTTTGTTGGATTGTTATGTTAGTATCCTGATCGCTACAGATGAAGAAAACTCTCTTCTGGCTGAAATCCTCGAACAAGACGACGATGATGATAAGCATGATGTCGTTGTTGAGAGCTGGATGAGTCGTCCTAACAAAGGATATGCCATACGCTTTGAGGAGATGTACAAAGAAGATGTGGCTTCCAGATTGCAAGAGGAACCTGAGAATCCGGTGACCGGGCTCATAGCCGCCAATGACGGACCGGTAAACACACCTTTAAATGATCTGGTTGAGATGGTAAATGCCATGAAAAATTACTTTGGAGAACGGATGACTAACTTGAAAACAAGGTTGATGGGTTGGTGGGGAGACTCGCACCTCTAGAAGCTTTTGTGCAGGAGCATGGAGGAGAGACGTCTAAGACTAGAAGAAGTGCTGGGAAACGAAGGTCGAGTGTGGAGGTGAGGACAAGGTCGAAGAAGCAGAAAGTATAAGACTTTTTTTTATGGTTTTCTACTCGTACTACTGGTATTACTATGTAGAACTTTATTGTTGGTTTTGAATTTGAACTATGTTATAATATGATTCTCCCAAGGAATCAGCACTTATCAAGTTGAGAGATGGATAACGGTGGCTGTGAGGCCGTGATGATGGATGATGGTTTGAATGATTGAAGGTTATCAGCGAAGCTTCTGGAAATAGCTTCAAGATAACAACTTAAACAACTCTGGATATACACACCAAAGAGTCTAAGGATTTTGCTGGATATACACACCAACAAGATGATCTTCTTTAGAAAGGGTTTTTGATTAAAAAGAAAGATGATTTCGTCCAGAATACATAGAGGACTTATAAAGAAGAGAGATATAGAAGAAAAACAGAAAAAGAGGTAATTAAGACAAGTCTTGGAACATGCTCCAAGACTAGTCTCGAAAACTAGCAAAATAATTAACACAAAGTTTGAATTCGAAAATAACTCTTGCACTCCCCTTTGGCCACGAAAATAATAGAGTAGAATAGAATGTGGCCTGATGATGATTAACAAGATGGACTATGATGAAGTGAAACATAAGCCTCGTTAAAAACCTTCCTTTGGAAAACCCATTGGGACAAAACCAAAGGTAAGGGAAAAAGAGCACCTATGAATCACTTATCCATTTGTTGAATCACTTAGCTTGTATGGAGACCAAGGACGTGTTGATCATGTCTTCATTGTGTTTTGTTTGGCTCCAAATGTGTTTAAGTAATCCCCCAATGGCTTGGTTGAATGTCTTGGCTCTAGATCGAGTCATAGGTCCAATTAGCGTCACTAGAGCATCTTCTGCTACAAGCTCTTCCTCAGCTACAAGCTCATCTAGTTCTTGCTCCAAGTCCTTGCTGCTATCCATGATCATATCATCCCCTCCCTCTTCAAAAAGATTTGACCTCAAATCCGTTTCATCTGCAATAAAGGGAACTAAATCAGAAACATTGAAACTTGAACTTACATCATACTTACCTTGCAGATCAAGTTGATAAGCATTTTCGTTTATTTGCTTGGTGATCTTGAATGGACCATCAATCCTTGGCATAAGCTTGGATTTTCTCTCATTTGGGAACCTCTCCTTTCTCAAGTGAACCCAGACTTGATCCCCAATGTTAAAGATCATCCTTTGCCTTCCTTTGTTAGCTTGCTTAGCGTAGAGCTTTGTTTTCTCTTCTATGTTCTTTCTAGCCTTCTCATGGATCTGTTGAACTATTTCAGCCTTCTTTTTCGCATCAATGCTTGTTCTTTCACTCATAGGCAAAGGTATTAGATCCAAAGGTGAGATAGAATTAAACCCATAAACAATTTGAAAAGGAAAAAACTTAGAAGCAGAATGCACAGCATGATTATAAGCAAATTCAATATGAGGCAAACATTCTTTCCAAGAATTCAAGTTTTTCTTTATCAAAACACGCAAGAGAGTCCATAAGGTTCTATTAACCACTTCTGTTTGC